ACAACAACAGCAAGCAGTGAGTGACACGCAGAGTGCAACCCCGTGCCATGTTGTGGTGGGGTGTTGTGTGCACTGCTCGCTCCTTTACCTACCGGGTCCTCTGCGAGCCACTCTTCCCAGCTGCCTCCGCCCAGCGATGGCATATCCGCATTGGCCGTCGTGACGCACACACTGCCGCTGGGGCACTGAAGCGACCCGCACTCGCCGCCCTCACTCTCGCCATACCGCGCCTGCCTGGTTCTGTCGGCGTATCCTTTCCATGAGACATCGTACTTTGGCATGATGCTGTCCCAGAAGCCGCACTCGTCGTTCATGTAGCCGGCCTCGCTGAGGGCACGGCCAGGCGGTGCGTCGTCGCTGAGGATGGACAGCTTCATATACAGCCTCTCTTCGCGAGTGTAGGGGGGCCAGGGGGGCAGGGAGGAGCCAGCAGCAGAATCACCATCACCATCCGGCACGCCAGTGTTGGCAAAGTTTCTCCAGTACCGGTGGACTGTCTTGACGGCCTCCTCCTCGGCAGACGTGAAAGCGAAACCTGAACGAGAGACACCATTCATCCATCCACTCACGTGCCCTCCCGTCAGCTTGTTCTGTATGTATGTTGCGCTGCTGACCCTCTGGCATTCTGCGTGCGCTTTGCAGCAGCCATGGCTGGTCCTCCAGGTGGCATCTGATCTCATCCGCACCGCAGAAGCGGTTGAGGGAGTGGAAATACGAGCCGGATTCACTCTTGTCGGTGAACTTTTCACTCTCGGTGTACGACCACCTGGGCACACAAACACACACAGAAAGAAAGACACACACTGCATTGCCTTTTCCGTATCTCTCTCTGTGTGCTTCTACCATGCCCTCCCACCCTGATTCGTATGAGGCGAGGTAACACGTGCCCGTCACATTGGCGCACAGCTGCCGCGTCGAGCAGAAGAATTCCGAGTGGCCGAAGGCGCTGCTGAACGAGGATACCGTGTCGGGCTTGTCGGGCGTCAGGCCGATCGTGGCGGGCTCACCAACACCATCAAGAGGGTAAAGCTCGAGGAACTCGTCCTGGATTCACACAGAAGGAGGAGAGAGGGATAGCATTCCAAATTTGGAAGAAAATTGGGCGTGTGGTTGTTACTCTCGTACCGCTTTGGTGCCAAAGAGCCCCTTGATGGTTGCCATCCATGTGACCGGATTGAAGACGACCTGGGTGAGCATGTCGGCGAAGTCGCGCACAGCGAAGTTGATGGCCCCGCGAATGAACACCGTCCCTTCATTTGGCGTTGACGACAGCATCAGCGGCACATCAGTGTTGTACTCGCCCTGCACTCACACAGGACACATAGCGCCAATCACCGGCCGCGTGCACCGATGGATGGAGGGATGGGCACGCCCGCCGATTCTCACCGTGACGAGGGGGTCATAGCAGTTGTTTGGGAGGACCTCCCCGTCTTCCACCAGCCGCCACGGCGCCAGCAGGAGAAAGAAGTCCTCGAGAACGAGGTACATATTGCCCAGCAGATTCGCCGCCGTAATGTCCTCCAAAGGTGCGGTCTTGATGCACTCGATGTAGGCGTCCAGGTCCCTCTCGGCCTTGTGGACGGGGCCGCACGAGGGCGTCAGGGCGGTCAAGGCAAAGTTGCTCTGCGACTTGGCGAGCTGACAACACAAGAAGGAGAGGAGAGGCAATTGCGTCAGCCTGGTCTGTGGTCGATTCTCTTTGTGAGCTCACCTCGAGGGATCTCCCGCTTTGGCAGCAGTCCTGCGATACTGCAATCACCTTCTTGAACAGCCGTCCTGCGCTCCCTGACGCGAGATGGCAGGCGGCACTTGCAGCACCCGCACTGAAGCCCACTAGTGTGACGTCACGCGAACCGCCGAAGTGCTGCACACAGCGCACACAGACACACATTGTGTAGGCCGGTCTCGTCTGCTCTGTCTGGTGTGGTGTGGCGTGGCGTGATGTGCGTGTGTGCGTTGGGCGGTCACGTGTATGTATTTCTGTATCCATTCCAGGGCGACACGCTGGTCCAGGAAGCCCAGATTCTTTGGAAGATAATCGGTGACAATGCCGCCGAAGATACCCAACCGATAATTTAAGCCCACGACCACAAGACCTGACCATACCAGCACAGACACAAACAAGGCGACATGAGCTGAGCAAGTGAAAATCTCTCTCTCCCCCTCTCTCGCGCTCTCACCTGTCCCTTGCGCAAGTGCCGCCCCGTCAGTGAATGCCGCCCCTGAAGTGCCGCCGTCCCAAGCCCCACCGTGGATTAGCGCCAGCACATTCCTCTTGTCGCCTCGCTCTCGCACGCCTTTGGGCACCCACACGTGGAGGTGCAGACACTGCTCCGCCAGCAAGCCACTCTCCGACAAGCAGAATTGCGGCGAGCCAACGACCTGCTTGCACGCGGACGGACAGGCGGGCCCCTTGTGCGTGGCATCGATGTGGCCGCCTCCCAGAGGGATGAGCGTCGGCTTCTCAAATCTTGGCGCGTCTGCGAACTGGATGCCCAGGAAGGCCTCCGTGTCGGTATCTGCCTGGTCGATGCCCCGGATCTCTGTACCTGATATTGCGCGTGTCACGCACGTTCACAAAGTGTCACTCAGAAGTGTGTGTGGCACTGCTTTTGTGAACTGTGTGCCCACCATCTGGTAGCTCGATGACGACCGCTTCTCCGCAGCTGGCGAACACGGCGAGCAACAGCCAGACACAGACACCTCCCCTCGGCACACAGACACCTCTCCTTGGCATCTCAACGATCTCATCAGCGCGGTTCGCGAGATCTGCGTTCGCTGAGGTGCCTAATGAGCGTCAAAGCAACGAGGGGTCTGGGCAGGGTCTTTCGAGAACGCGAGCTGATATCCTTGAGCTCGCCGTAAACTCCTCTCCACCCCCCGCAATGCTACCCTTTTCCACAAGTAAGGCGCCCAGCGAGCTGAGCGCGATGCACGACCCCCACAGGTGACAGCGCTGTTGAAGGAGAATGGGGAGGTGTGTCCATACGTGAAGCATCCCATCATGGAACAGCATGAAGGTGAGTGAGTGGCTTGAATAAAGAGAAGGCACGGCACATCACAGATCATGCAATTCTGTGTGTCTGTGTGTCTGTGTCTGTGTGTGTGTGGTGTAGGGTGACCAATACGCAGCATGAAGCAGGCACGAGGACGAGCAGACAGCACAGCACAGCAGAGCACAGCACAGCACAGCGCAGCGCAGCACGAGCAAGCATGAAGAGGCAGAGCAGGTGTGGTTCGGCCGGGAGGTGCAGATTAAAACGATGGCAAGCCAGGGCGTCAACACAAAATGACCGATAAGGAGATATGTGTATGTGTGTGTGTGTGTGTGTGGAATCACTTCTTGTCCAGCTTCTTCTTGATGTCCTTGGCCTTCTTGATGTCGAGTTTGTTGGGGGCCACGCTCTTGAGGAGCTTGCCCAGAACCGACTGGTCATCGGCCTTGGCGAGAGCAGCCCACAGTTGGACGGCGTCCTTGTCGTTTGCGTCGATGGCGTCGCTGAACTCTGCACACAGAGAAGAGAGAGAGAGAGGCGTCGCTGTGTGGGAGGTGTGGGTGGATGTGTGTGTGTGTGTGTATGTGGCGTTTGTGTGTGGGCCGAGGAAGCTGTCAGGATCAAATGTCGAGGCCCTGATAGAGAGACTGCCCGCTCATCAAGTCCTCGCTGTGTTCGACTCAGATGTCTGCCCGTTTTAGTAAGCCTCACTGTCCTCAAGACACGCTTAACGGACCTCCGTTGCTGGCAATATACACCCCATTGCCGTCGGTGACCTCCATTGCTGGCAACGGACCTTCATTGCTGGCAACAGACCTCTGTTGCGGGCAATGGACCCTCATTGCTGGCAACGGACCTTTGTTGCCAGCAACAGACCTTCAATATTGCTGGGAACAAAGGTCCGTTGCCAGCAATGAGGGTCATTGCCCGCAACAGAGGTCTGTTGCCAGCAATGAAAGTCCGTTGCCAGCAATGGAGGTCACCGACGGCAATGGGGTGTATATTGCCAGCAACGGAGGTCCGTTAAGCGTGTCTTGCTTTCTTTGTGTATATGTGTGCAGTGCATGTGTATATTTATTGGCTTACTATTAGCTGTCCTGCTTGTCGTTCTGTCGTGTTGCAATGCTCATGCTCTGTCTGCATCCGTGCCAGTGCTGTATGTGTCTCTCTATTGATCGCCAGGACTGTTCTCACCTTTTTGCGTGTGATTTGATACGATGTGCATGTCCAGACGCCTCGGTGTCTTGGCCTGTTGACAATCGATGGTTTCTGTTGCGTGTCCTTACGTGTTTTCGTACATGTTTGTCATGGTGTTGTCTGTGTTCTCTTCTACATCTTCGTCTTGGAACGTCTGTCTCATATGAAACACACCGTCTCGCACCTTAGGCAGTGACCGACCGACCGTCCGTACGAAACCTACGCCACCAGAAAAGAGTAATACCGTAACGATCACAGGTAATACCTGGGTGATACACCACAAACTGAATGTCCTCTCACCTCTGACGCTGCTCTGGCTACTCGAGAGGCTGACGGTCCTCTCACCTCCAACGCTCTCTGGCTGCTGATCTGGCACACATACACGTCAAGAATGACGAGGTAAGTCTGCTTTATATCGCCATACTGTGTGTTTCTCACCCGAGCTCTGTTCGCCGTGTGCGTGAGGGCCTTTTAGGAGGCCTCCGACGCTGCTCTCTCTCCCTCTCTTCCGCACGCGCTTTTCTGGCGTCTTTTCGTGTGTCTGTGTTGTTTTCTTCGGCGAACTGTCGATTGGCAACCCCGGAAGGACCGATCCGACGAACGGGCGGAAAAAAAGTAGCCTAGAGCACTCCCCTCAGCTGGGTGCTTTTGGGGGGTCGTGAACGTCCGCAGACGGTCAAGAGCGCTCACCAATGGAGCGCTCATGAACGCACCCCAACTCGTGGTAAGGCCCTCCCCTCATTTCTTACTTCTTGAGAGCGTCTCTCTCTCTCTGTGTTAAATTTCTGCGTGCAGGGGTCACATCGCTGGCTCTGAGGTCGCCCCGTCTCTCTTTTTCTCATGCGGACAGTCAGGCGAGCAAGCGAAGCCCTGACAAGCATATTCCCTGCCCAACTCCCGAGGGCCCCGTCCGATGACGATGAGGTCACGAAGACGCGGGTAGCTCAAGCATTCGCCGACGACCTCGATGAAATCGCCCCAAGCATTGCGCCCCGCAGACGCCGCAAGTCGCTGGCTGACGGGAGCGAGAAACATGGGAGGAAGGGCTCGGTGACTTGCACGACGCTTGGGAATTTGAAGGATGATGAGCTGAGCTTCCTCAAGCAATCGCACTACAGGGACGTGACGACGGTCTTCAACTATCTCCTTTTAGTCGTGCTCGTCTTGCTTGGGACAATCGCCATTCTACGCTGTCAGGCCGAATGCCTGGAGCCACTACCGATTGGTGCGTGGTGCTTGAGGAACCCAAACCCGCAAACGATACATTGTTTGTTGTGGATGCAGAAATGTACTCAAAAGACGAGATACCGCGTTTCCAAAATGTAAAGTGCTGTCAGCTGAAGAGATACAACATTTGAAACATTGGTGTGTGGACGTGCATGCAGGCGGAATACTTTGCGAAAGCTGTCGTTCGCCCGAGACCGAAGGATGTGCGAGTCAAGTGGACTCCACTGACACTCTTCTACTCAACAGCCTGGCTCTGCTACTTCCTCGCCGCACTGGCCGTCCTCATTAATCACACGTGTCTCTGGCGAAGGACCGTGCAGGTGTGGCGGTTCAAACGCTATTGGCGATATAAACGGGCCATTACTTGCGATTCGGCCCTACAACGACAGTCACTCACATGGCGGAGTGGCACCATCCTCAGCAGCATTGACGACGGCACAGAGAAGCGACTGACAATATGCGAAAGCACCCGAACAGTGCTGTCCGTGGTGCAGACAAGGATGTATCTTTTCTGGTGTGTAAGAATGGATGTGTGAAGCGAATGAAAGCGAATCTTTTTTCTATGGTTTGTTTAGGTATCGATGGGTAGGTATCAGTGGGCGTGGCTTTTGGGTGTTGATTTGGCTGAGAGAACTCGTAAAAATGATGCTGCAGACGCATATCAACATGGTGCTCGGTGGTTTCGGTAGGAAGCAGGCCTTTACGGACATTCTTAGTTATGAGTTGGTTTGTGGTAGAGCTTATAACCGTGTATGACGAAGAGTTGTGGCCGCGTCTCTCCTTGCAAGTATGAGACACGCAAAAGATTGTTCACTCCGTCATGTCTCTTTTTTGTTTTACAGGACGTGCCCGCCTCCACCTGGGGTCTGTGATTTATTCTTTCGTCCATGATCTGTCTACACGCTCTCTCTATGGTCATTGCCTTCGTTCGGAAGAAACGCGGCTTCGGCATCAGCGTCAGCCTCGTTTTCAGTCTTTGCTACGCATTTCATACGGTGGCATCTCAGCTTTATTTGAATCCCTCGTGGGGCGGGAACTGGCGAGCCCTCACAAGCCAGAACCAGTTTGCGTTCCTGACGTATTATCTGCCAAGCGCGATGGCTTTACATGAGCTGCGAACCCTCCATGCCCTCATGCTATGCAAGGGCTTCTCTGACTTGTGGCACTTGCAACAACTGGAGCGACAAGTACAGCATCAGCTGTCTGCCGATCGAACGCTGACCGAGGACGACCAGAATGAGCAACAACATAGCGCCGAGAAGATCAGCGGCGAGACACGTGCAGAGTCGATGAGAGCTTCAGTGGAGAGCATCCCAGTGGAAGGAAGTGTGACTGTGCCAAGAGTCAAGGCATATGAAGAGGGGGGTCTGCAAGGCAGGCAGCTATCCACCGATTCCGAGCTATCGTCGTTACTCCTGACCGAGCCCGAGCCTGAGAGAGACAACGATAGAAGTGTCTCCCTATGCTCCACCCATGCCAAAAGATGGACTATCGAAGGCACAGCTTCTCTGCGATCCACCAAGAAATCGGCAGATCACAGCATTGCGCGCCACTCAATGGTCGAGATGACCGGTTGCTCACCAGAAGGTGCTCGTTTGGAGGACAAGACTGGCAACTCGCCGAGGCGACTGCAGAAGATTCTCCCTTCGGACGACACCCTGGGCGATGATAGTGAGAGTGAGCATGTGCCGGCTAAGCCTTCCCTGTTTCGGATGGCATCGATGGCTTTGCAAAGGATGAAGACCCATGATCTTGTGAGCTAAGAACATGAAGACCAACCACATCACAAATCTTGACTCATCGCTGCTATTTTATGTTTTAGAGTGCGCAACGGATCCGAAGGCAGATCACCTCAGTATTACAAGTCGAAGACTTTATCAAGGAGGAAGAGGAGGAGGCAATGCGGGAGGAGAGAGAGTTCTGCTCTCGCAAGTTGGCTTTGCGGGAGACACGTGGCAGCACTGAGGTCCCGTGTGTCTCGCGGAGAGGAGGCAGTGTCGGCGTTGAATTCATCGCCAACAGAGGAAGCTGTAGGCAAACAGAGAGAGAAACAAATGTGCATACGCAAGAACTTCTCGCGCTCTCTTTGTCTTGCAGCGATCCGCGGCGATTCTGTCTGGATTCGTCGCTGTGGTAGAGACACTCTTGGATTCTTCTGACTTCTCTCTCCCCTCTTTGTCTTCCTCTGTGGTAAAGAGACCATCTTCTTGGCCCTTGGTGTTCTCTGGCTGGCTTTCACATCTTTCTACGCAATTCATGAGGTCGTCAATCGTCTACGGGCTCACTACGTGTGTACGGAGGACAACATACCGAGTTGGGGACAGTGTATACAAAAGGCAAGTAGGATCGATAACGTCCTTCACGCAAACGCCTGCGTCTGTTTGTGGACATATGTGCAGACCTACCCAGTCGTCGTCCCGTATCAGATATTGCGTGGTCTCCCACGCGGGCTCCCCTGCAACTGTGTCTACATGGCTTGCACTAAAGTCACAAACATGTCAGCCGCCCACATAAACGCTGGATTGGACTTCTTTTCGACGTTGCAAGGTTTGCTGAAGGCGCTCGCGAATGGATGTGACAGATTTGTCTCTGTGTGCACGTGGCCCGCTGGTGAGCAGGGATTGGATTTGGCTCGATAGAGGCTGACAGTGCCGACAATGGGACCGTCCTCCGCCACCCAATAAGAGAGCTGAGCAGCAAAGGACTGGCTAGGCAAAAAAGCTTGAGGTATATCACAGGATGGCACACCGAACTAGAGGTACACACAGACTTTTTTGACAAACAAAGAAGAGACGTCATGAGTGCGTCTTTCTGTGTATGTCCTCTCTAGGAGGTCCCTCGTGGGCTTGAGAAACTGCCAAATCTTGAGTACGTGAACTTTGCTCTCAGCCGTATCTCTGAGGTGCCAGAGTGGATCGCGAGCCTGCCACGTCTCCGATTCATCGACCTGCGGGTCAACAGTGTGACAAGCCTGCCAGCGAGCATCACAAAAATGAAAGACACGCTGGAGTTGCTACTGCTGGAGTACAATCCGATATGCTATACCGACTGCTTCCACACCCAATCGAAAAGTGTAAGTGAGAGACAACAGCCTCTTGGGGCGTTGATGGCCTGTGGTCTCTGTTTGTGCCTGTGCAGTTTCTGTCAGTGGTGAACAAATGGAAGCCATGTGGAGTCACATACGATATCGTGGATTTCCCGTCCGATTGCGTGGCCTTCTGCGAGCTCGGCAGGGCCCTGTGGCACACAATGGACACGAACAAGGATGGCCTTGTCTGCGTCGACGAGTACCAGCAGTACATTCTCGAACGCCGACCCTCATGTGCGCAAATCAGTCGCGGAGGAGCGTCAACCTTGCAGGCTTGTCTGTGTCCGTGTGGTGCATTGATGCATTCATGCAGGGGGCAACGTGACACGGTTCAGGGAGGTCATTCATGAGCACAAGGATGCTGCTGAAGACGATCACGGCTGTGCCACGGGGCGGGTTATGTCCATCTATGCGACGAGCGGCGTCAGTGACTGTCAGGACTGCTCATGGGCAGCCGAACTGAGTTCATGAGCGGTGCCCACGTCGTAGGGAATCTATAGCTGCCTTGTTTCTGTGACTTTGGCTGCTTGTCGCGTATACTTGTGGCTTACTGTGTGCGTGGCCTTGTGTGGGGGCTAGTCTGTGTGCGGACCGATTAGGTCCTTTTTTTCTTGGCTGCGTGGGGCGTGCATGACATTGCCTTAGCGAAACTGACTGCACCGAAAGAAATCCAGCCAGTGCTAATGGCGTCACGATGTATCAACGGATGAATCCACAAATAAAGACGGAGACACGCATCTATCGAGTCGAGTGCTGTGGAGCAACGACAATAGAAACACGCACATTCACCTTGCACCGCCAGGCAATCAATACTTTCTTGTCGGTGCGGTGACAACTGTCGCGGGCGGCGCCGTGCTGGCGGCGCCCTTCTGCAGCAGAATCTTGTGCTTGGGCAGCATCCAAGAATCGTCACCGCAGTCCTCCTGCAAAGGCCGTTTTGACATATTGCACCATCAAAGTGGCCAACGTGTGTATACAAGTCGGGTCTGGTCTCATTGTGGGCGACTGACCTTGAGGGGGTCCTTGAATGTGAATCTGATGTGCACTTCGCCAGACAGATTGCCCAGCGGCCTTTCCGAAGCCTTGTCGGTGACCGCAGACTGCACAAGCATGGGCGAGAATGGCGCAAATCAGTCCCTCGCCTCCGTATTGGTGCGTGTGCGTCTGTCTGTCTGTGTGTCTGTCTGACTGACTGACCGGGTCTTCTTGTATTCTGTCATACAACGGTATCCACAGGTCGGTGGTCCTCTGCTTCTTGCTCTTGTACTCATCAAACACCAAGGTGGCGCGGCCTGCTCACACATTCAGACAGAACAGATGCAGGCAGCCAGACGAGGGAGAGATATGGACGAACAGCCAGTGAGACACGGCAGCTGCGAGACAGGCTGTACACACACACATGTCTGTCTCTCACCGATGAAGTCATCCGTGTGAATGGTCCTGTTCCACACTGACACCCACAAGAGGGCTGCATCCTGTAGCGCACACACATGACGTGTCGACTGGGTGAGAAGATGATTGACAGACAGACTGTGTCGATTGCTGACTTTGATGTCTATTTTGAATCGGTTGTTGGCCTTGAATTTCGGGTTCTGGTTGGCCTCCCAATCGACGTCAGTCTCATATGTCTCAGGATTGCCTGGCCGCATACACACCACACCACACCACACCACACGGACACACACGATGTGCCAGCAGTTTTGCATTTGTGGATTGATCACCTTTGTCGCACGCAAAGCGGACAAAAGGGTTCATCAAACCCTCGAGAGCTACCATCCTGCATGGGGCACAGAGACACACGAAGTGACCGAGTGGTCTCCGCATGATGGATGCATGCGTCAAAGCTGACCTGAGCTTTTTGCAGGCGAACACCTCTATGTCCATGTGCCACAGGCGGTCACGCGCATATCTGTATGCCAAGCACGTGTCGATGGGTATGTGGACGCCCTGCGGTCTGTCTGTGTTGAGGAGTGGGATGAGATCCTACTTTCGTTGGGCGATGGTCCGCCTCCTGGCGGCCTGTATCTTGGTGACGGAGCGGACCTTCTCGCCCCGGTCGACCCATGACGCGCTCTTGGACCGCCACAAGCGCTGCAGCCGACGGGCAGCCACCTCCTCTGCACGCTGATCGATGTAGGCAATAACCAATGAGGCATTACCCGTCGGTTGGGTCTCGCGTCGTCTCATCTCATCTTGTCTCACTCACTTTGAACACGTTGTTGTCTGCCACTTTTGCCAGCTCGATGTTCTGTGGAAGGCCCACCAGCTCGCGGCCACAGTAGGCAAACTGACACGTAGAAGCAGGTGAGTCCGTGGCTGGCTGGCTGACTGGCTGGCTGACTGGCTGGCTGTGGGTGGTTACCTGGTGTTTTCTCGCCCCTGCGCGCACCCATGACGTGTAGATGACGTGCCAGAAGAAGAGCGACAGCGGCTCCAGCACAAACACCAACACCACAAACACAGTAACCAAACCCACTGCCCTGACATATATCCAGGAGTGAATGTGTGGGTACAGCCAAGGCAGAAAAAAGAGAGACATATATATGTGTCTCTCGTGTCCACACATGTGTGTCAGGTGTTACCAGTATTGGATGACGTCGCTGGGCAGGCGCCCGGTGACCTCTAAAAGGTAGGCCGTGGCCAAGCCAGCTGATATCAGCAATGTCAAGAGCAGCAGAAAGGACGTCAGCCGACTACACGAGCCACCACAAACCAACGTCCTTTTTTGTGCGCGTGTCTGTGTGTCTCTCCTCTCGTGCCTCTTTGACCCACCCGTATCTCTTGTAAATGCTGCCTGTGAGTGTGGATCGGATCGACCGCCACAGGACTGTCCAGAACCGGTGGCTGAGACCCCGCTGCTGGAATACCCACACCAGCCGACGCTCGTGCGCATTTCGCATGCACAACACCTGAGCGATCACAGAGACAGCATGCTGATTCAGATACCACCAGCTCAGCCAGTCCGACTCACAAACTCACCCATTCGAGAAATGTCTTATCGGGGATGTGTGCAAACTTCCGAATGTTGAGTGGCGGGAACTCAGGCCGAAACAAAGGGTTCAGCTCGTGGTAGTAGGTGTGGCGCAACAGGTACAGAAAGTACCGGTAGAAGGGATACAGCACAATGGCGGCATAGACACTGCCCTGCACCGTGGCCAGCATGTCGTGGCTTTCACCGCTGTCGAGCGATAGCTCGTGGTAGTTGACGACGATGCCGGCCAGGAGGCAGCACATGTGCAGCACCCAGCACGCATAGAAGGTGCGCTTGATGCGCGAGAAGGCCGGGAGGGAGGCCGAAAAGAGAGAGAGGAACAGGTGGTGGTTCAGGAAGAAGGACAGAAAACTGCATGCATGCACCCACAGGCGGAGAACAGGGAATGCACGTATGCGGTGAGCAGACACAGTACGCATCCATCACCTTTTCAGCTGGATGCTGAAGTATCCGCTGCTCGATATAGGCTTGACCAACAAGTCCCCCTCCATCGAGAAGACAAACGGGGCGGGGTCCTCATACACCGTGCTCCGCCTCCCGGAGCCCCTCCCGGACGCCCTTGCAGAGCCCTCCGCCTCCCCATTAGCCGTCTGCAGCCCCAACTGCTTAATTGTCACCGCTTCCTTCATCAGCTGGTCGGCCAATGCCGACGCTATCACGTCTTCCGGCAGCGATTTCTTACCGACGATTTGCTCGATCCTGGCAAGTGAGCCTCTGTAGGACACGGGCGACATGAGGGACGACTTGCGCCGTCCCTGCTGCGTGCTGCTCTTCTCCGCCTTGGCCTTGAGTGCCTTGAACCGCCTGTCTGCGGCATCTGCATTGAGTGCCACGAGCAGTAGGGTACCGCAGAGGATGTAGAGGCCGATAACGAAGTAGACCACCGTCGGGTTGAGGCCCTCCGATGCATTGCGGCCGTGAGGCACCGGGCTGAACACATCAGACGCTGCGATGTCATCCTCTCTGCTGCGGACTGCAAGATGCCGCAGCAAAGCAGTAGCCGAATCCTGCATGACTCTGGCCATTGCGCTACAGCTGACAATTGAATGCTTTGTTGAAGTTTGCGTCTCGCCCCCAGGAAGCCCCCAGCGGGCTAAGCTCGCCAACTGCCATGAAGAAAACGATGACAATGAATCCTATGCGCCCCTTGCAAGAGGAAAACACGACAGGTGAGAGTGATTTATTGTGAGTCACACCCCATGCTCTTTTGTTTGTGAAGTTGGAAGGTATCCCTTCACCCACCGAGTTGAGAATGTTGGGATGAAAACACCGTTCAAGGCATCGCGTCTTGGGGGGAAAGCTGACGAAACAGATGACAGGTCGGGGCTGGAGATGAAGGATCTGATAGTGTCTTCGTGGCCGGCCATCCTCCTGCGCCATCACTGTGTGACACTGTGTCGTATGAATGCAGGCTCTTTGACAACGCAGGTCTGAGCATGTTCAGCGACGAAAGGACGCTGCCGGACGAGCCGCCACAGAGTTCATATCAGGAGTGGCGTGGGGCTGTGGAAAGTCTCTTGAGTAATCTGACCAAGCAATGAGCAGCACGAGCGGACACAGGCAGACAGGCACTCTACAGACCTGTGTGTTTTGGGTGGATTCATTCATCCAGGCTTTGAGTCGTATCTTGCGGAGCTTGAGCGGATGCACCCACAGCCAGCAGCAACAGACCTCACGACCACTGTGCTCCGCGAGGAGGCGTCAACCAAGGCCAAGAAAAGAAGGAGGCAGCCCTCGCCCGCCGCATCGTCCCCCCCTCCCTCCCCCTCCCCCGGCCATCCCCCTTCTCGCAAGTGCGACGGCTGTCGGCCGATGACCGAGCTCATGCAGAGACAAGACTTGTCCCGGCCAAACATGTCACACCGGTTCTCCCTGTCCTTGAGGGAGCCTACCGACCTGCGAGGCATTGGCCCATCGTGTCCAGGCACGGCGGCATCTGCCAAGGTCAAGCCTATCGAGCTGGGACAGCAGCGGCGGCCCGCGTCGACTACAATTCATCTCGGTGAAGGGCCTGCGCCTTTGCCGGTGTCTGAGGCAGCGATGACCGAGAAACATGGAGAGAGACAGGAATCGCCCTCGCGGACTGCTCCAGCAAGACCCCGCCGGCCATCGCCGAAGCAAAAGGCCCAGCTGGCAATTGTCGAGACGAGTGAAAGGGCGGTCTCGCCGGCGTCTCGCACGGCCTCGTCATCCACACGTCTCCCCACCACTGCTGGAGCGACACAGCAGAGAGGATGGAGAGAGGCGGAGAAAGAGGTCGAGCAAACACAGGAAGATACAACGACCGAGAAGCCGGCACAAGAGCCCGAGTGCGGCGTTGGCGAGGAGGACGCACGGTACTTGATCGCATCCCTGTACAACATGCTTCGTAGTGAGAAGCTGCCGCCTCCCAAGACCTTCTATGACTCGTTTCTGCGCGGTGCCGGGCTGAGAGAAGATGAAGTGGAAGACACGGAAGAGGCAGGAGAGGCCGTGAAGTGCGAAAAAAGTGTCGAGAGTGTTGACACTCTGCTGCGCAAGGACTGGCTGGTTGACGACATCGATGAGGCATGGCGATGTTGTGAAGCCAGCGACGGCATGTTGAGTGAGTTCAGGAGGATTCTAGAAGTATACGAGGGTCAGATGCTGGAACTGCAAGTAAGCTACTTTCAGACGTTCTGTGAATCTCCGGAGTCCCCTGTGTCCTTGCCTCAGCGTCACCTAGTCAGCTCCCTCCCGAGCCACGCCCCGTGTGTGCAGCATCTACGTATCTTCGTCATGGATTACTGGGAGGAACTTCTGAGGGCATTGAACAAATATCGAGACACGCAGCACAAGGCGCTGCACGCCATGACGCGGCGCGCCAGGGACGCTCACAAGGTCATGTCTGAGCAGCTCAACATCAACCTCCGGCTGCAGACGAAGTGCAGCGACCTGCAGCAGGTGAGATGCCTGGAATCATCGGATCCACTCACGGCTGTCACGCCTGCAGACCATTCGGCGCATCGATTTATCCCGGGCACGGTACAACCTCTTGTACGAGGATCATTTGGAGGAGGAAGACGCAGACAGGAGCGAGGCATCCCCGCTGCACAAGGACGACATCAGTCCAGTGAGATCTGAGGTCTCCCAATTGAAGATCGACCTTGGGAGAACAGCAGAGGTGGAACGGGATACATCGGTTGCGGTGACCGAGCTCGATTTGTCACCGAAGCGCCGATATCGGGAGCGGCACATATCCATCGAGACGCAGACTGAGGTGGGTGGGTGTAAAAAAAACATCCCCTCAAGCTCTGGCTGGTGTCGACAGGAGTCAGCTTTGCTCGAGGATTTTCTGTCAAGGAATGAATTCCTCGCCGTCCGCCCCGTCTCAGCAGCTGTGCACGCCCCAGCCACCCCAGCCGTCCTTTCTCTGCCCACAACTGTGTACAGGGACCCTTCATTGCTACCGCCGCTGGGTGACTTTCACTCTTTTCTGGTCGGCAGTCGATGTGGGGAGGCGCCCGACACGGCATTCACCTCTGCATGGACTCTGTTCCCCCTCCGCCCGCTCTCTCTTGTTCTCGAGACGGTTCTTCACATCTTTGCCTACTATGACGGCATCCTTCGCAGCTACCACAAGCCCACCTCCTCTGTTGTCCAGCTGTCTCGCGTGCCGTCATCGAAGCCATCATCGCCTACGGGACGCAAGGGCCGCCCTGTGCTGACTGTGGTGCCAAGCCAGGTGTCCACACCCGAGCAACCGACGACGCCGAGAGACGATGAGCAAGCGCCATCTCTCTACGACAATGTGCCGCAGAACAGGCTGCCTTCCCTCGCCCACGTGACCTTCTGTTACTTTCTACACCAGTTCCAAGTGGTCCCATTCGCTAAGGTGGAACTGTTTTCGTTTCTGCGGTCGCTTCATTACTTCTTCCCTGGAGGCGATGACGCCTACACGAAGGGCGGAGGGAGGGAACATGAATCGTGCAGTGCGTACCTGGATGGCGAGTACGAACAGCGGGCGCTTCCTGAAGATGACGTGGGGGCGACGGAGCTGTCCTCTGTTGGCGTCCTGTTCGGTCGCATCGTGGGAATCTTCTCTGACGAGAACCCATTCTTCAGGCGTGACTTGGGTGTGTATGTCTCTCAAGCGCTGAGGGAGCTCTTCTGTGCCCTTCCCGGGGACACTGGCTCTTCGCCGTCATTTGTTGGGGCCATCAGTCGGGGGACGGAGACACGGTTGAGCGAGAAGGCCCCGCTACATCCTCCCACCCTAGCGTTGCCGTTGGACCGTTTGAGGGGCCTGCTGCCTCGGCTGTGTGACCCGACCACGCATCCCAACCAATACACGGTGACTGCCCTCACACACTCACTTTCCTACCTCATCATGGTTAAGGTATATATGTGTCTGTGTGAACAATTGCAGAGCTTGATAGAGTTTGTTGATAGCCATGTGGTGCATTCCACCGTCGACCCCCACCGATCCCCCACCCATGCCCTCAACAAGGAGGCAGCGGTCGCCTCTCAGTTGAACCCCCTCTCTCTTCCCAACCCCCTGGCCAACCTCTCACTCATCCAGCGGCACAACATACGCATGTCGGCAAAGGCCATGGCGGGGGGAGAAGCTGACAGTGAGTGCGGCTCGCCCACCTCGCCCACCTCGCCCTTCTCGCCCACCTCGCCGTCGCTTCGCTGGAACGGCTATGTCCGTCTGGGCGACATGGTGCGGCATTTGGTGCTGGCGTGGCAAACGGCGAGGGCTGCAGAGGACGTGCTGCTGCTACGCACTTTCAAGACCCACTGCACGACGGGGCTGTCAGGGTGTGTGGTCTCGCCGAAAGACTTCATCCAGGCCATGAAAGAGCAGCGCATTGTGGACGATGGCCACACACAGCCGCTGTCCCCGCGGAGCTCTCTCAAGAGGCGTATATCTTCCAAGCGGATGACGGCGGAGGGCGGCTCACCGTACACCCCTCAGGCAGGAGGACATGACGGCCCCCTCACATACGGCGTGCTGTCCGTGTTCGCCGAGGCACTTGAGCACTCGGGCGTTCCCTCATCTATCGACAGCGAGACATTCGTCAACCTTCTGCGAGACGCGATGAAGGCCAGCCAGGCCCCTGAGCAGACAGGAGCCCCCCTTCTCCTGTCGGCCCCCCAGCCGGCCTTCACCAAGCGGCGAAGCAGCATCGGCAGCACTGTGTCGATGGCCGATTGGCAGCGGCGGCAGTCGGGCAGGAGAGGGTCCATTTTCCCTGGCGCATCGCGCGACGGCTCGAGGGAGAGGGGCAAGGCCGCAAAGGCCGCTGTGGACGAGACGGAAGTGTTCACCAACACTGCCTTTCAGAGAGATTTGCTGTCATGGGCGGCCACTGGTAGGCTGACACATGAGACACAACACACACATGGTATTGCAATGGTTATTCCATTCTTCCAGATTTGGACTTGTGGATAGCCTCCGAGTGCCCCAATACGCCCCGCTCGTCAGCCGGCGCCTCATCCGAGTCGCTCATTCCGGTGGCCCGCAAGCTCATCGAGGACATACAGAGGGAGCTACACAAAGCCGCTTCTTCCCCCCGCATCTCCTTCCGTGCCGCTGGCAAGATGTTCGCCGTGTCGGCCTCGCTCCACAAGCAGAGCGGCAGGCGCACATCGGTGACCTCGAGAGTGCCCATGCACCTCAGCACCAAGCAACCTGGAGACGATTACGATGAGACGGATGAAGCCGTTGTGAAACGGGTAGATAGAGTCATTCAGAGGAGACGCCACTCAATCCGTGTGTCTCTGTGTGTCTCTGTCTGTGGCTGTGTTTCAGTGTTGGACGCGGCTGCACAAATCGGCCAAGTACTTTGTCGCCTGGAGGGGCATCGTGCACCAGCAGCAGCCGCCGCACGAGAGCCGCGTGGAAGGCAGCCCACTGATTCTGACTGACGAAGAGAGGGCTGAAGCGATTCGCTTCCAAGAGAGCACTGCAGCTGGCCTGAGAGCGCGCAGTGACGCGTATGAGGTCTGCCACATGTTTGCAAAGCAGCTGGCAAAGCTGGCCGTCAGTCACAGAGGAGCAGGTACGCCACGCCTTGCACACCGACAACTGACCGTCCAACCACTGTCTGTGTGTGTGCTCCTCTCTCTCTCTCTCTCTCCGTCAATCAGGCAGCATTATTCGCGAAGCTGCAACTGATGCAGGCAGGGGTCATCGTCAGCTGTCGCCTGCGCCCCTGACCGACCGAGCATCAGCCATCCGCGACACAGTCAAGGTGCTCGTTCAACAAGTGGACAGCTTGCTCCAGCCAGAAGCACAGGCAGAGGTCGGAGAGAAGGCCGAGGAATGACCAGACAGACGACCGGCCCACCAGGTGTCAGCGATGCAGTGCAAAGGGGTGCAGGTGCTTGCAGCATCGTGTGAGTGCATCGCGTTTGAGAGTGAGTGGTTTGCATCGAATGAAGTAAGTCATCATTCATTCAAAGTCTGGTCGCATTGCGACCCCCAAGTCATGTCAGACAACAGTGAGTGAGTGACCTCATCGCAAACTGACTATCCCTCCGTTCGCCCAAAAACGGGCTATGCACACTGTCCTGTCATCGTTTTGCTTCATTCGCCAGAGCAGCCTTCGATCACGTCGTGAACTCAGTCCTCGTCGCCCTCCTCGCCCTCAACCCTGACGCCACGCGCACACACAATCAACACAACCACACACACACACGTGTGGATGCAGTGTGTGCTGGCTGTGTGTGAATCCCCGCGCCTCCCTGACTCACCTAATTTGTAGAATGCCCTCCTTGGCCCTGTAGTCGGCCTGTCGCATCTCCTCCAGCTGGTCCTCGTCGAGCGTGCGGAACATGCCGATCATCGCCACGCTCTCTGCGTCGAGGTTCTTGAGTCGCCGCCGCTCCTTGCGCACCACCCGCACCAGATCGCCGTCGGGTGTGAACATGTGCTGCGACGCGTACTTGAGGTTGCGCTTCCGCTTGTAGATCTTGATGTCCTTGGCCTTGGCAGACAGGGACGACAGGGGGAGGGGGGAGGTGCGGTGGAGTGGGGTGGTCAGGGAGGGCGGCGGGGCGAAGGCGGCGACAGTCGACGCTGCCACCACAAGCAGAGGTGAGAGCAAAGCGCCAAGATGCATTGCGGAATCAGAGAGGTCCTGTTTGCAGCCTCGCGGTTTCAGGGTTCAGGGTTTGGAGTTTGGCCCAGAATGTCCGTCAAACGGAAAGTTCTCTCTCATGCACGACCGCAGCTTTCACTCGTGGCAGAGTCGCCGGCCTTTCCGTGTTTTACTGGGAAGGACGGCAGGTGCGAAAGAATCGCTCATAGCTCTCTGTCTGTTTGGCGCATTCAGGCCGACCGACAGACAGAGCCGCGTTACCGACGTGACTCGACGAGAAACCTAAGGTGAGCACGACAATGGCCGCATCCACTCAAGGTGTATGCTGCTCCGGTTCGGTGTGCCTGTGTGTGTTTGCTGCAGTCATGTCGATGAGTGACGAGGGCGGCGCGCCGCCCAAACGGCCCCGCACACAGGGAGGAGAGGAAATGACCGCATCTGACAGCAAATCGGTGAGGCAACTGACTGACAGAAGAGCACTCGTGGTCACATCACTCTGTCTGTCTGTCTGTCTGTTGTGTTTCAGTCCATCGCTGAGGGTATGGCTCGACTGGAGGAGCGCATCGCGTCACTTCACTCACACATAGAACAGGTACCCACACGTTCACAGTGTCGTGACGCCATCCGTCCAGTGGGCTCTCACTGTCTGTGTTGCCGTCGGCTGTTTGCGTGTCTGTCAGGCCACTCGCGAGGCTGCCGATGTGCAGGAGCTCTTCAACACGACAGTCGCAGCCCAAGTCAACCACACACAAACACACAATGAGGCCATCAGCACACTCTCCCACTGTGTGTCTGTGTCTGTGTCTGTCCTGCAGACGCCATTTCTCGCCCAGAAGTGGCCTGGCGTGTTGTCGGCTCTCTCGTCGGCTGCCGAAGGTCTGCGTGAGATTGCTGACGGCGTCAAGGGCACCTGCCGGCCGATCGGCTGGGCTAAGCCGCCGCCACCCAGACACTTGGGCGACGACCTGTCGGCCGACGTGTGGCGTGGGGACATCTACCCGATGCTGTCTGTGTGTGAGGCCGTCTGCTCGGCCCGCCCGACCAGCAAGACACACGGCAGCCAGCTCGTCGATGAGGCCTTCATGCTCAAGCGCATCGACCAGGACCTCAAGAAACACTCACTCACCGGACTCATCGATGTCGAGCGTCCTACCCCACCCACAGCCACAGCCACACCCACACCCACACCCACGGCAGCAGACACCGACCTCCCCGGTGGCCCCCCGACACACCCACAGCCGACCAGCGATGCCGCCACGCCAGCGGACCGCATCCGGCGGTTTCGCTATCTGTCGGCGTCCGCCTATGCACTCGAGCGAGGCGGGGCGGTGTGGCGGCAGATGACCGACTTCATCCACCTGGCGCACAATCACAAGCTCATCGAGGCACTGCCCCTGCGGCTGTCAGCAGACAGGATGGCCGAGCAGCTGGGCAGCAAGATGGCCTTCGATGAGCTGCCCCTCACCGTGGCCGTCTACAAGACATTCGGCCACTTGCTCAACCACAAAGGGACCAGCCTGGCATTGGATCGGGTGGAGGAGGAGATGGAGGAGGATGGCGACAGTGACAGTGACAGTGACAGCGACAGTGACAGTGACAGTGATATCGGCGACGATGCCATGGGCGATGGGAGCGAGCAGGACGAAGGAGACAACGATGCCGCGGGTCAGCAGGAGCAGGAGGGGGCAGGGGGCGATGGGTCAGGAGGGCAGCAGGGTGATGGTCATGGTAGTGGCGTGGCGAGGCAGCGCTATAGGATCGGCACTCAGTACTTCACGACCGTCCCCCTGTCCGATCTGCCCCCCAACCATCCCTACCGCAGCACATACGACGAGAGCGATCCCGTCATCCGCTGTGGGGAGTGCCTCTACCCATTATTCACGGCCTTCATCGAGGAGACGGTCCTGAAGCGGTGGTACGACCAAGAGGGGGTGGAGAAGAAGCTGGTGACTGATACTTATGTCGGTCCTGGTGACACTCGCTATCGGTCCCTGCTCACGGCACCGACCATCGATGGCTTCAAGACCATCGATTACATGGCTGAGCATACATTCGTCCCGTTAGATGACGGGCGCCGACGATTTATCATCCTCAAGGGCACCGCAGCCGACGACACCATTGCTGCCTACCGGGCGATAGGCTATGGCCGCATCCGCCTCTACACGACCGAGGCGCCGACAGACGGCAACACAGACATCGAGCGCTACGCCGTTGCTGTGAATGCCGCAAGACGAGTGCTGGCCAAATGTGGGCTCGAGAGGACAGTGCTCCGATAGTCTGCTGGCTGACGACACACTGGTGAGGAGGGTGTGTGTGGGGGGGGAGTGAAGATTCTGCTCGTGCATCTTTGTCGACTTCATTTGTGTCGAGCCTCAATGATGCGTGCTGCTGTGGTGCGGCCTTGCTGCCTGCTGTGCGGCGCCAGGCAACCTTCTAGAGTTATGCGTATTGTTGTTATCTACACACACACACGCACACATCCGTGTCAGTCGGTCCAAAAACACTGATACTCACTGCCGGCCGCAATTAATACGAAAGTCTGCACATGTATGCCGACCGATCTAGCTCTCTCTTCTGGGCTACGGCAGCAAGGTGGGCATCGAACACGGCACTCTCACACGACACACTCATTCTGACTGCGTGGGTGTGCGTTCAGTTCAGTGTATGTTCTCGCATTTTGAGACCTGGCGGTCCAATGGGAGGTGTTGGATGAGTGGAGTGGGACTGTCGAGGAAAGGAAGGTGAGTGCAATGAGCGAGGGCCAACACAGGGAAGACACAACAACAGTTGATTGATGGGGTTGGGCAGGAGAGGCAGGGTGTCAAGGACGCTGCCGACCAGCGCCGCCCGAGTTGGCGCACAGATCCGGAGCAAATATGCCTGCATGGTGCGGAATACACCGCACTCAAAAGGTACACGCACACACTCATACACCCAAACGGCACAGGCAGGCAGGCGCTGTTTTCCTCACGCGCTGCCGTCTGTCTGTCTGTCTGTCTGTCGTGTCACTCGATTCAGGTTTGGCGCCATAGCAGTCGACAACCACTGTCGACACGCAACGCACACAAACCAACGACCCTTCGCAGGTATAGCCACCCATGATGCATCTGTTCATCTTCTTCATCTGTCCATCGACATGTGTGCCCACCGCAAACTCCACGTTGGATGTAAGGATGCGGTCTTGGGGGTTAGCTGACCTCTCCAGGTCGCCTGGCGATGGGTGCTGCGACTCGTGTCGGGCAATTGACTCGCCCACTCCCTGGCCTCACTCACTCAGTCACTCGCTTGTTCTGGCTGATCGTTTGTCTGGCCCGTCTGTCCGTCTGCCCGCGGTGAGAGGACACTGAGCAATGAAGATGGCAGCTGATCTGCTCTGCTCCGCACCCGCCTGTCTGTCGGTCTGTAGGGATGTTGACTGCAGATCTCGTGTTGTGTGTTCCCGGCCTCTGCATCGGCACTCCCATCGCCACTGACTGACTTACGTCGGGTGGGCGAAAGACCACTGCACACGCGTCAAAAGCATCTGTTCTCATCGACGCGTGCGTGTGTGCAGCTTGGGTTTTTGGTTTCGAGTTGGCATGTCACCTGTATCGCTTCCCGTAGACAGCCCTGCACGGCCGTTACCAGCACATGTAAGGAGACAAACGAGGCGCATTCACACATCGTCTGCATTCCACTCTGTGTCGTTCGTTGTGCAGACATCTCACTCACTCATGGCGTCCGGCTCTGTTCCCTCTCTGTGGGCCCTCTCACTCAACAAGGCCTCTCACATGCTCGATGACCCCACCAAGCGGCCGGCATTCCAAACACAGATCGACAAGCAGCCGCCCACAGAGATCCCAAAGGGCGTCAAGCTGCCGGCCGTCCTGCAGCAGCGCGTCGAGCGGGCCATGCATGAGGAAGGTCTTCATGACCTCTTGGCCTTCGACATTCCTGACGTGGCGGAGGCCCTAAAGACGGCCTACGTGCTGGAGCGGTGCATGACACGAGCATCTTCATCCGCGGCTTCATGAGGGCCGGATCATCCCCCCCGACGCACTGGCACACGCCCTCGACGCAGGGCAGGCAGCTTCCTCCTTCAGCAATGCTGATTGGATCTACTACGGTAAAACGACCACTGACACACACAGAGAGAGAAGCTCTCACTGGCACCCAGGCTTGTGGTGTGTGTGTGTGGGTGTATCAAATGCCTGCAGGTCTGGGCACGATGGAGCTGCAGATGGATGGGATCGGCCTCGGCTATGTGTACGGCCACGTCGGTTTCGGCAACTCGCAGGGTAGCAGACTGGCGGTGGTGGACACTGTCAACAACGAGCATCAGGGAGCTTTCACTCGCAGCGTGGTGCCCATACTGGAGGCCGTCTCAGGCCTCTGAGTCCTGAATGACACAAATGAATGCAACCAACATGTGTGTGACGTGTGGGTTTTTATCTGTGTGTCTGTCTTTTATTGGTCATTTCTCCAGCGAGGCTGCATGATGCACACCCTGACAGACAGACAGCCAGACAGACAGACTGTCGTCAGTCGGTGTGTGTCGTTGCGTGGCGGGACGGGAGTGAAGTGCATGTGTGTGTTTGCACGCATGTGGCGTTGAAAGGTGTTGCCAGCGCAGCGCGTTGCGTGGATGGCTGGGTAGGAGTTGATTGGTTTTGGCGGCCCGTGAGTTGCACGAGTTGCATTGGTGGGCGTCGGTCGGGGGATTTTTGATCAATGCCGTCCGTGTGGATAGCATACGTGTGTGGACACTTTGGCCATGTCGTCAGGACATCATCATTTTGTAGCCTGCCAGGTCCCTGCCACTTAGCTGGGCACGCAGCAGCTTGTCTCAGTCTGCCGTGGGCCGCAGAATTGCGTGTCTGTGTGTATCTGTTTGGGTGCGTTTCTCTGTCTGTCGGCGCATTTCTGTGTCTGTCTACCTGTTTATCTGTGTGTGTGTGGCTGAGTGAGCCAAGCGTGTGCTACTCACGCCTCGCACGTGTCAAAGGCTGAAGGCGCCATCGGTGTGTCTGCCTCAGCGATGCACTGAGTGTCTCTGCATGTCGTCAGAATCATGTTGGCTGTGTTTGGCAGAGTGGCCGCGGGGCGTTAATAAGGTGGCCGCGAAGGTAGCAATGTAGCGGCCTGCGATGACAAACAGTGCCAACGGCCTGCGAACGATGCTCTTTGAAAGTCTCGTTGAAACGATTCTGTACGTTGGTGCTGTAACCCCCGCATTCACTAAATTGGAAAGCCCCACGCATCATTACTGTTCAGAGGAGCACGGCAGCCGCCTCAGAACGCACTTGCAATGGGAGAAAACCGACTTGGCAAGTGATCAATGAATGAATGCGAGCTTAGAAGTGCGGGAGATGGAGGGGATGAGACGGTATCCGATAAGGATTCCTCTCTGCGCTGTCTTTCTTGCCATCTCATCGTCGCTCGTGGCTTGCTCGCCCTTCCGGCGGATCCTCCAGCCCTGGCTCCAGCCCGCCAATGAGTCGGATCCCCTCCCTCCCGGCTGGCGTGACCCAAGGCGGCTGAAGCTCCTGCAACTCTTGTGGGTCTTCCGTCCGGCTGACGTAGTGACCTCAGATGGCAAAGTGCAGCGAGGCGACAACATCCTCCCCTATACCGAAATGGAGGAGCTCGTGCGCTGCGATTCGTGTCGGGAGGATGCAGCGGCTCTGTTTGAGTGGTCTCACGAGGCCGGACTGGTGGACAACGACACCAAGTCCGTCTTCGAGGACAACCTGTGCGTCGTGTCCTTCATCACGTGTGTGCGGCTGAGTGAGGCGCTGGGCGGACGGCGGTCCGCGGGAGGGCTACATCATTGCTCTCACAGGGTGGCCTGAGCATATGGAGGTATCGGATGTGCCGGGGATATTGGCACAGCGGGGGGGTGCGCCGTTCGTCTCCTCGGAGGCCTTTTATCGGCTGCGTCACGTGGTCGGCCTCGGGGCCATATACCTGCCTATGCAGGGAAGCTTGGGTGATGGGATCGCCAGAGTGACCTCTCTTCGCGCTATCGGGCTGCGTGAAGTGGTGAGTTACATCTGATGCGCACATTAATTTACGCGCGCACTTGTTTTGATGCTAACTATAATGTCAGGGCGGCATGAATGGGCTCCTTCCGGCTACAATTGGCGAGCTGCCATATCTCAAGGGCCTGTACCTCGGGTTCATGAATTCAACACCCGGCCCCATCCCGCCCTCCATCACCAACCTCTCGCGCCTCGAGGCTCTCTGGCTTGTGAAGACAGATCTTTCAGGACCCATCCCCGAAGGCATCGGCAGACTTCGGCGCCTACGGATCCTGGAGATATGGGAGAACAAGCGGATGGAAGGGCCCTTTCCGGCCAGTGTGACGTCTTGCCATAACCTGACCCGACTGGATGTCCATTCTAACGGCCTCGTTGGCTCTCTGCCTTATGGTCTGGGTAGCAAGATGGACAGCCTACAACACTTAGATGTGTCGCGGAACAACGTACGTAGCACACAGCCAACACAAACGTAGATGTGTGTTTTGAGAACTGTATTTCTCTTTACTGTCAGTTTTCTGGTCCACTGCCGTCTTCGCTAGGTAATGCGGGAAACCTGATCTCCGTCCACTTTCAGGGCAATCGGGTACATATTCCCAGAAAAAGCACAGGACGCCGCACGCATTCCTGTTGTGCAGCTCTCGGGTGCCTTGCCAGATACGTTGAGTGGCTGGAAGTCGGTCATGCTTCTGAGTTTGGGCAACAACAATTTTTCCGGCACGCTTGAGCCGCTTAGCGACCTCACGTCGCTCAGCGCACTGCGGGTTAACAACAACTCGGTGAGAAACATGACGAGCAAGCGAGCTTTAGTAAAAGCTTGTCATACCATGTTTCAGTTTGAGGGTCACCTGCCTGTCGGCTTTCGGGGTTTGGAGAATCTCAATCGAATAATGGCAGATAGCAACCGGTGCGCTGCATGCGAGATAAACGCCGACACACGTAGTAGTTTGGACCTGTGGATTGTCAGGCTGGTCGGATTGGTGGATCGCGAACACAGCGGCCCGGGATATGAAAGTGTTCGGCTCTTGAGTCTCTCATTCAACCGTCTGAGTAGAGCCGTTGATCTGTCTGTCTTTCCCAACCTCGAGGACGCCTGGCTCGACCACAATCTCATCACGAGAGTCACCGGCAGCATCCCACAATTGTCAGCAAGGAAGGGCCGTAGAGAATGGCATAGGCGAATACAGGATACCGTTTTGTGTCAGATTGCGATTCTTGAGTATGCGCGACAACCTGCTGACCACCCTGCCAGAGGGTTTTCGCTCAATGCCTAACTTGAAGAAGCTGCACCTCACCAACAACCGCATTAGCCAGTGGCCTAAGTGGGGCTCCACACCAAAAGGCGTCTGCTACATAGATGGGCACTTGGGTGAGCTCGTTGTCATGCACACACATCCGGACAGGCAGGCACACAGGCGTGCGGTTTGTATTCTTTGTGTAAATGTGTTTGACAAAACTACAGAAATGGGCGGGTGGAGTTGGTCGGGCTTGCTGTCGGCGCTGGATCCGCCTGACTGGGGCAGTCTGCATGAGCTGGATGTGTCAAACAACCCCATCAACCTCGACGTGACCGAATTCCTCATGCCCCTTAAATGGCAGAACAAGTAACTGAGCATCATTGGCTTTGTGGCATTCGCTTCCTGCTCTGTGCCTTCGTGTGCGTGACAGTCTGGTCGTGCTGGATGCATCGAATTGCAGTCTTTCCGGTGCGATGCGCTGTGAAGCCTTCTTTGGATTCCCCCTGAGAGTGGCTAACCAATTGACATCTGTAATCGATCTTTGCTGCAGACAGGCGAACGCACAACCATCAGTCTTTTGTGCGTTCTCAGATGGCTGACAGCTATTTCTTCTTGGACTCTGTATTCCACTATCTGGGATCAATCTCTTTGAGGGACAACAACATCACCGCCATCGAGACGTTTCAAGCGTTTCCGTCACGGCTCTACCACGTCGACATGCGAAACAACTCACTGAGACGAGTGAAAAGGCCTGATTCTAGGCTGTTTTCATCCGACTACGCGAGGTTCACGGACAATCCAGACCTCGATGTGAAGCAGACATCGGTGTGTGTCAGCGTTACACCCATCGAGGTGAGAAAAAAGAGCAGAGAGCCTCTGTATGTATAATTGGTGGCCGATATATGTGTGTTGTTATCGGTGTCTGTGGGGTGTGTATGTGGTTTAGAAGTGTAATGATTTGCGTCGGTCAAGCGGTGCGCATCAAAACTTCAGTTGGTGCCCATCATTGACCGCGTCCGACGATCCACACTTGACGCCACTGGTGCCCGACCCGCAAGGTAGGGTAGGATCCTCGTCACAGCACACGCAGAGCAGATACCCACTGCAGTGCGTCAGTCCACATCAGTGCATGTGGTTGGAAATGGTTTGTGCAGGATATGTCGTGCGGACGTTGGAGAACGGTGAGGAGCGGTTCGAGTGCACAGAGTTTTGCTCGGTATTCAACAGGCTAGAGGTCAGATTCCATATGGTTAAGTACACAGAACGAGTACACGTGCTGATTGTACCCACTGTGCTCACTAGTGTTCTCCCTGCTCGCACCTTTCGACTACACCTTCGACTCGGATGCCCTATGTCGGTGCCTGCCCGGATACGAGGGCATCGGCATCAACTGCACCAAGTGCCCCCCTGACTCATACAGCAACAGACAAGTTGGCACACAAACATGCTCACAATGTCCCGATGATGCAGGTCAGAGATGGAAGAAACACATGACAATAGGCCCTTGCGACTTAGATTGTTGGTCTACGCGTCTGTCTGCAGGTTCTGACGAGGGCTCACCTGCGTGCTATTGCCGTCTTGGCCACCAGCGCGGCAAGGAGCCGTGCGAGCCGTGTACGGCTGGGTCTATCGGCGTGCGCAAAGGCGGCGCTGATGGAAGTCGCAGCGCGTGGATCTGCCAGGACTGTTTGCCTGGGTTGAACTGCTCGGTCCCCATCAACTACAATGCGAGTGTGCTGCCGGGCTTCTTCCAGCTCACTGTCCAGCTACAGTCGGATCGCCCGTCTCACAACACCACAAGAGAAGTGACAACGTAAGATGGGTCTTACTGTACGAGCCATATGAGGGAGTGTGCGTGTTTTGGCGTGTTTTAGATATGGCTCTGGGTTGACTTCGTTGCCGATAGTGATGTCGTGTCCATTGCCGTCGGCCTGCAAAGGCACTAACAAGACAGACGGGCTGAACATATGCTCGGTAACAGCCAACTGCATCCCTCCGAGAAACGCCATTTTTTCGTTCTCGCCTTGTCTCTGTCTCAGGAGGGTCACGAGGGTTTTGTGTGCTCTCGGTGCAAGGCCGGCTTCTCGCGTCAGACGCCACAGCAGCCCTGCGCCCCATGTAACCCACTATGGCAGATTGTGCTTGTCAACGTGTTGCTCGTTCTCGCCACTCTGATGGCCATCTTCATACTCACGGCGCTTGCTGAAAGGTCCATCTCTCACGCAAAGTTTTAATTCGATCAATCTTCGTGTTGAGCTTACGGGTGTGTGTCAGGGCTTCGTCGTCTCTGCGCGCTCAGGTGCCGTCTCAGCTGATCAAAATCGGCCTCTCACACATCACTGCTGTACGCAATGGCGGATAAACAGAAACTCATGCACCCACCTTCCATCGCCTGTATATGATGTTGCCGTATGTGTGTGTGTGTGCAGGTATGTGGTTTGGCCTTTCTCGCGTTTGACGAGTCGTCCGTCTGGGGCGGCCAGATATCCTCACTGCTCGGCGGGTTCTTCGCCTGGACCGGCGGGGTTCCTCAGCTGCGAGGAGTGTGGGAGTCCCTGCTGAGGCCATACGTGGGCGATAAGTGCGTTCTGTACCGCAATGCCGTGTGGTTGGCTTTGCCACTCGTCTGGCTCACTGCTGTGCCTATCATTGGTAACCACGAACACACACTCTAGGGGGCGATGCATGTGATCATTTGTGGCTCGTGTCGTGGCTGCAGCGAGCGGGTTTGACCGAGTGCGTGATGCCTTCAAGTCAAGACGGCGCGTTGGCAGCAACGAACGAGCCTCACTCGCCACCGACACAAACATCCGGGCCCTCTCGGCACCGCCATCCGTCGCCAACGGCAAGACAGACACACCTGCCGCTCACTGCCCTCGCCAGCGGTCAGTCACATTTCAGGAGGACTTTCGAACCGAGTCAGTGACGCCTCCGTCCTGCCAGCATTCCCTAACGGAGGCCCACAAGAGCGGCCGATGGCGGCAGTGGCTCGACAAAAGGGGGACCATGATGGTCGTCAACCTCACCTTTCTCTATCCCACCGTGACCAAGAGCATGCTGGCCCTCCTGCGCTGCCGGCCTTTCCCCTATGTGGGTTCGCCTACCCCTATCGCCTCAGGAGAGAGTGTCAGCCTGCTGCCCACTGATCCGATGGATGACATGCGCTCGAGAATGGACCTCGATTCCCATGTTCTCTTCGGATCTGCCGAGCATGCCCCGTTCTTGTGGGTTGCTGTGGCTGGTCTGTTATTGTGGACGCTCGCACCAATGGTGTGTGGCGTGGCGTTTCTGTGGCGGCACAGAGACCGCCTGCAGGACCCCCACACGCGCAGAAGGGTGGGCTTCCTTTATGTAGGCTATCGCAAGAACTTCCACTACTGGGACTTTGTGCTGGCCATGAGGCGCGTGTTGGTGCTGCTGATCGCACAGCGAGCGACGGCGCAGCCCCGCCAGCAGCTGCTCGGCTGGACTGTGGTCGCCAGTGTGTGTCTGGCGCTGCAATTCGCTGTTTGGCCCTTCGACCGAAGCAGCATGGACATCCTCAATCGGTCTGAGCTGCGTGGGCTGCTGGTGTGGTTCGTGTCGCTGCTCGTCATGCAGTTCGTTGTCATGCTGCCCGAGGGGACCTCTCTTGTGTTGACGATCGGCCTCGTGCTCGTTGTCATTCTGGCCAATCTGGTGCATCATATTTTGCTGGCCGCGCAGGTATGTCGGTATGGCCTGCTGCAAGTCGGCTACAGATACACGGCCATCACCGACCGCGAAAATGCTATTGGTAGGCAACGGAAGAGCATCCAATCAGCACGCTCGGTTCCATCTGGCTGCTTGTGCCCTGTCGTGTCCTTTCAGCCCGTATGATGTCCGGTCGTGTGACGGGCCCTCTTTTGTCGTGGCTCATCAACAGAGAGGAGGAGAAACGGCGCATCTCACCGAAGGTCTTCTATGACTGGTCCAGTGCTGCTCTCTCTGCCGACGGCCCCCCCGCTGCATCAGAGGGGTGCCATCCGTGTGTCGGGTGGCCGGTACATCGTGCGGTGACAGCCATGCAGCTGACGTCAGCCGCCATGCAGGACGCCATCGAGAGACTCAAACTCACACACGTGCCCAGCGACCTGTAAGCATACCAACACGCGCCCCGATGTCTTCTGCTGTCTGTGTGTATGTGTGTGTTTGGTGGTTTGGCCAGCCATGAGTTTCTGTGGAGCCACGCCTTCCTGGTGCAGGGCCTGCGGCAGAAGCGAGTGGAGATGCGCAGCCGTCGACGAGGCCATGTGGTCGTCCATCTGCCAAGACCCGACGACCGCACAGTGACGGTGAGGCGAAGGACAGAAGACCCCCCGTCTGTACGGTCGATCGGCCTGTGTGTGTCCCCCAGGGTCTGCGGCACATGCGGACGAGCGACCTCTCCAATGTATTTCGCAGTCGACGCTCTAGCGACGGTCGGTTTACTGCATGGACCATGATACGTACCACACTGATTCGTGCTATCACGGGATGGTGATGTGTGCAGTATCGATCCAATCGGAGGCCGGCAAGACGTCCACTGATGAACCAAGCGAGCAGCCGGTGCCCTCAGAGGTGTCTGCGGGCATCACATTGCACGACCTGCAGGCCAACTTGTCCTATGTGGTGGACGAGCTCGTCACGAGAGAGCAGATGCACCAGCTCAAACGGACGGCCGACGGCAGTGATCTCGAGAAGGCCGCCACCGAGGTACCGACAGACCCCCAGCAGCACACTGGCGGCTGGCGGGGGCTCTATGAGGCGTTCCGCAAGGCCAAACGAGCACTCATCGATAAAGGCAGCCCACCGGTCAGCCAGAGATACATTTACGGGGGTGTCTGTGAGTATGGCCAAGGCCGTCTCTTCTGCTGTCTGCAGGATGCCATCCCAGAGGCCCTCGTCAGCCTCGCGCCCACAGTGGTCGAGACGCCATGTGGCGATGCAGCAGATGAGGTGCCTATGACCGGCTCGGTGTCGCCTGTCAGCTCGACCCAGTCGCACTTGCAGAGCGACCCCCACACGGCCGCCCTGACGCCCCCCTGCCATCATCTCATGCGTGTCGATTGGCACCGGCTGAGCAGTGACGAGGAGGACAGTGTGGCATTGTCCGTGTCGGCCGAGGCCGTTTATGACGCCGTGGCTGTCTGCCAGCACTCTTCCGCTGCGTCGTAGTCGACGCGCGTACATTTGCAAGAAGAGAAGTGCTGAGTATATGTCGATTTATTTTCGTGCTGCGAGTGAGAGAGTGAGGCAGCATTTATTTTTTGTGTCGGTCTGGCCGACGGCAACACACTCGATCTGCTGTGCGCGCACACACGACTCTGTGTACATAAATACTTTTGTGTATATACATATATGCATACATATTTTTGTGTACATACATGTATATTTTTGTCCATACATGCACCTCAAGATATATATGGACATGCACCGCTCTGGCTGGTTCGTATGACTGGCTCGGTGATCTGAAGGCTTTATGCACATGCAGACCTCTGTTGTAGCGTGGCAGGCAGGCAGACAGACAGGCAGACAGAAGGGGCGTGTGGGTGTGTCGTCGGTGGGTGTAGAACAGCTAGCCACGCAACGTAGGTGACAACTTGGTGATGCCACGTGTGCCAGTGGTAGTCGTAGAGGAGTGCACTTGGAAAAAGAGTCCATTTCCAAATGCCAAACTCCAAACTCCAAATGCCTCATTGCTATTACTGACACAAGGAAGAATGGCGACTTCATATGTGTCGAGCCTCAATGATGCGTGCTGCTGTGGTGCGGCCTTGCTGCTCGCTGTGCGGCGCCAAGCAACCTTCCAGAATTATGCGTATTGTTGTTATCTACACACAGACAGACATCCGTGTCAGTCAGTCGAATAGCGCTCACTGCCGGCCGCAATTAATACGGAAGATCTGCACATGTATGCCGACCGACCTAGTAGCTACCACCACCACGACGCACACGCCTGTGGGCGTGTCTCTCTACACACACCATCCGCTCTGGTCACGTCACAGATGGATGATCGACCGGTCGGGAAGCTGCTATGCCATATGCCATCTACCTATGTTGTGTCCATCTCTGTCTGTCCGCCCTTGTGGATGTCGATCTGTCTGATCTTGGTGTAGATGTCCACGAGGGCCGCCTTGTGCTGCGCGGCCTCGCGGCTCGTCATGGCGGGCACGACACCTATGGCCCTCACCTTCGGCAGACTCAGGGCCGCTATCCCCGCCAACTGCACGCAGACACAACCAATGAATGCTCACACAGACGGGAGGGATTCTGTTTGCCGGCTCACTCACTCACCCACCCACCTGCAGGTATGCGGCAGTTTGGTTATGTGAGGGCGCGTTGCCGTCTTGTCCTTGCCGTCGGCCAGCCATCGCCATCACGTCGTCATTGTCATTGCCGTCATGGTCAAATGCGTTGACCACCGCTGCATTGATGTGGTCGTCGATCGCGCCCTTCTGAGCCAGCAGCAGCGGACGGCCCACGTCTGGCGCAACCAAGGGCAAAACACGCGACCAAAAAAAAAAAACTGCGCGTCTGTCCTGGTGTGTTGTCTTTCTGCCGGTCTGTCTATCTACTTGTCAATGTGGTGACCTGGGTGTATGATCCACACTTGTGCAAGAGTGGGTGGGGCCGTGGCGCACCCCACACAGCCCGACGAACACACATCAACACGCCTGCATCGCACACACATATACCAACGGACACCATGCGTCACACACGCGCAACTGCCCTCCCACTCTCACTCGCTCTCTCCCTATCACTTACCAGTGCAGCATATCGGCGAGGCTGTCTGGCCGCATCGCAGGGGTCCCAGATTCGCCGGCCCACAGTGTGGCCAGGCCTCTCAGCAGCAGCGTGTCTGGGTTCGGTGAGGATGCTGTGGGCGGGTGGCTCTCTGCACGGCTCATTCCACTCGACGATGGGACGCCCGTCCGCACCAGCACCAACACCACTGCACGCACATACGCGCCGCGCCCACACAGAACAGACAAAAAATGATCCACAGATGAATCCGTGGGAATCGCTCCCTCCCTGCCGCTCTGCCTCTCTGCTTGTTGCCTACCGTCAGCCTGCATGATGCCCGCACCACCACCACCACCACCACCGGCGCCTGTGGTCTGCATGTCCTCATTCGACGTGCCGGCAAGGAGAGCCTTGATCAAACCCATGTGGGCACTGCCGAGCGACATCGGCCGGGGCCTCACGGTCACATGCAGTGACGACGATGATGAAGATGGTGCTCGGCCGGACAGACCGCCCCTATTGGGCCCCCCGGGCTGTTTGATGGCGACGTGCAGGTACCAGGGCACCGCCAGCACCAACGACAGCCGGCTCAGGGACGACAGAGCAGCGCTGTTCATCTGGAGGACAGAGAGGGAGAGAGAGAGAGACCAGGGCAGAGTGTGGTTGAGTGCCCGTCGACGTGCTGACTTACCTCCTTCTCCTTCTGTAGTCGTTGAATCTGGTCGTGGAGGCGCTTGCCCATCTCTGCCAGCTCCGACACACGAGGCGACAATGCACCCGCACCACTGGGCCCGTCGCCCCTCTCTCGTGCTGCCCTGCCAGCGGGGGGCTCGATGCGGTGTCGCCTCACCTCGTCTAGCACCGTCACGTACGCCAACCACGGCGAAGCATGCCCAAACACACATATCTGAGCTCACAGGGGGGTTGGTCAGGGGTGGGTGGGTGAGTGTCGGTATGTCTTGCCTGTGTGGCTGGGGCTATGGGCATTGGCTGGGCGAGGGGGGGCCAGGACGCCCCACTGAGGTCCACCCGCCATGTGGTGCCGTCGTCGCCCATCACATACACCTGATTGATTTGAGATTAACCCATCCAACCCAAACCACCAGCACAAGGGCATCAAATCAAAAGGCTGTGTACCTGTTGGTCATTGGCGCAGTCGACCTGCTGCACATGGACGGCCCTCTCTGTGCCATTACCACCATCCTCTTCGTTGCGGAAGCGGATGGCCCCACCGCGGCAGATGGGCGCCACCGCACCCATGATACCCCTCGGCCCCCTCTCACCACCACCTGACCCACACGACGCCACCCACACCTCGCCTTCATCGCTGCAAGCGCACACACAGACCAAGTCGGTAAGCATTTATTCGAATGTTCTCGTCTCCTGTTCCTCTTACGATATCACTGCGATGGCGTCCGCGGCATGCCGATCGTCGTCCGCACGCTTGAGTGCCAGCAGGAAGGCATGAGGCCTCTCTCCGATGGCAAACATCGATGACGAGGGCATCAGCGCGTGTGACAGGGACGGCTGGGGGCGATCGGTGTTTGAAGCTGCATTGCTGCCAGCGGGAGGAAGAGTTCTGGGACAGATGGTGACGGGCAGCTGATCGGGCGGGCCGGATGTGTCGATGTCGTCCGGTGGTGGTGAAGATGCTGGCGAGTTGACCATCGCCATGAGGCTATCCGAGAATGCCGCGGCGGATGCGATGTACACCCTGAAGCACAACACACGCAAGATGAGATCTACGTGGTGTGTATTCGCCCGCCCACTCACCCGCCCTTTTTGTCCACCCAGATGACCACTGAGATGCCGCCTGCAGTGTCGGTGGGCGGCGCCGCTCTACCGCAACGGTCCTCAATGTCATTGTCGTCATCGGCAGCATCGCCCATGTCCCATATGTCACCTGGAGGATCCCCTCCCGTCAGGCCGCGCCACAACGCATGGCTGACCGACATAACACAGCACAGCACAACACAACAAGTGAGGGAGGGGTAGGCCATCCACCAACCCACCCGCCCGCCCGACGCACCTGATGTCACACGTGAGAACCGACGACACATTGACCTCATGTACCACTACTCCACCCGAACTCTCATCACCACACCAATCCTCTACACCACCACCAGCGGCAGCCGCTGCAGCGGCCGCACATGGCGCCTCCTGCGCCGCATTCTCTTCCCGGAGACCGACAGCGATAGTCACCGATGGCTTGAGTGGGGCGAGGGATAGCAGAGGGTGCTCCAGCTCGATGGACACCTCCAAGAGTGCCAGAGGGAGGGCTGTGCTCATGATCTGCATTGAGAGGGAGGGGAGGGGCTGTGAGGGGCGGTGCAGGAGTGGTGGCAGCCTGGAGAGGTCACACCGCTGCACCCACTGGATGGTGTGATGAGATGCGGATGACGGGCTGGGGGATAGAGAGGGAGGGGGGAGGTCGACGGGCTTGACGCCCAGGAAATCCTCCGTCGTTTCTGCAGCCAGCCAGAGAGGCAGCCAGCCAGCCAGGCAAACCAGACGCACATCGAATGCACCCCCCTCCGTGCAGCCAGCCATCGGTACCTCACCTTCATACAGCCGCGAGAGGTTGGCGAGCACCAGCTCCCTGGCCACGAGCTTGCCCCCCTGCTGCCGCCCCCGCCACGCGAGGACCGCACTCAGCAGCGGCCCCTCCTCCCTCTCCTCCACCCTGAAGTCCTGCACGTCCATCGTCACGTCGACGGCATCCGGGTGGGCGGCAAACACGAGTGGCGCGACGGACGGGCCTGAGGACGGCTGCTGCGGTGAGAGGCTCTGCGTGCGGTAGGCCAGGAGCTGGGAGGGATCTTTGTGGGCGACCACCAGGAAGGACGAACAGCACCGGAGAGAAGGGGAGGCCATGGCCATCTGATCTCATCAGAATACCCATCACATAGGCACACACAGAGGCGGGGAAGTTAGCAGGCCGGCGTCCGACAGCCTCTTCTCACAGCAGATCTGCCCTGGTCACTCATCAAAACCACCTCGCTTCTGAAGGAAATGCAAGCAAGTAGGAATGTCAAACATGTGGGCTCTCTTGCTCTCCACCGCCATTCGGACCTTCATTGTGCAGAGTAGGCGTCAGCAGATCTGCATCAGAGCTGAACGTCATCGATTGATCGAAAGCATCCCTCAGCTCCTCATGCCACCTCCAGACACTCCAGCGCTGCTTGGCCTCCAGGAAGCCCGTCGTTTCCCCAATGCCGATCTATTCGCGAGCTCGGGATGCAGAGAGAGGCAATTAAGGAAAGGCCGCCTCCCCATCGTAGCGAAGAGGTGAGTGAGTCCGATGAGGCGAAAGGCTGATTCCAGATGTGTTCATTGCCTCGCTGCGGCGACACTGCCTGCCTCTCTGCTTGCAGGTCTGGACTCTGTGTCGTCCGTGGATGGGTCCATCCTTAACATGATGGCCTGTCCTCCCTGGTTGATTTGATGGTGTCTTATTGGTGTGTGGAGGCCGCCGGCATCGAACAACACGCCACGCCATCACTTCTGGACAGTGGTTGAGCCAAAGACCACGGCAAGTGTATCGATCAATGGCACGTGTTCGTTGTCATCATGTGAGTGTGCAGGCCTGGCCTTCCTTCTGAGCTTGTGCCGCTGCAAAAGAACGAACGGCTGGCTGGCTGCCTGCCTGGCTGGCGAACCATTCGCTGTTAGCAGGGAGATCTGGGGCCTTCTTCCATCGCCCTCCGGGCTCAATCACTGGGCCAGATAGGCCCGGTCGGGGGGCCAGGGAGACGACGGTCGCCGGCGAATCATCCTTAAGGGCACCGACACCATTGCGGCCTACCTGTGGGTCGGCAGTGGCGGCATCGAACTTGACACGACCGGGGCACCGATCGAGGGCAGCACGCACATCGAGCGCTTCCCAGTTGCTGTCCCCTGCTGATCAGACATGGACTAGCCCGACCCCCGAGCGGTCCTCGGGTGAATGATGAAAGCCGACGTACATGACATGCCTGCAGGTGAGAAGCACCAGGAGAGACCCATTGCTGATTGCTGTGTCCATCCATCATCGTGTCTTGTCACCTGTGTTGGATGGATGCGTGTTGGCCAGGCTGAGTACGTAATGCTGGCAAGTGTGTGGTCGGGAAGAGGGATTTGCAGTATTAGCGACTACTTGGCTTACTGAAGTGTCTTTGAGCTTTGTGTCCTTCATCCATGACGCGACCTGACTCGTCGGTGCGCTGCAAAGTGAGGTTTTGTCTCACGCTTCATACGCTTCACCAGCTACACCCAGGTGTCCCATCAACGAGTCACTCACAAACACACGTCTACACATAGCCGTACGAATGAGCTATCGCTATCCCATTCGCTTGACGGATTGGCTACACACACAGACACAGAACAGCACAGCACAGCACAGCACAGCACCGACATGGCACCAGACAAATCCCGTACCGGCCTTTTTCTACCCATACGCCTCCGTCATGTCGTCCGTGTAATGGTCATGGTCTATACCACCTACTAGCCTACTAGACTACTAGCCCCCTCACAGCAGTTTCACACCAGCACTCTCCCTCTGTTGATGACGTCCTCCTCGAGGTCGAACCGCTTCAACACACTGCGCCACATGGGCATCGACACCGGGAAACGCACATCGAGCACCTCGTCCAGCGATGCAGCCGGGCCAGCAACGGGCGGCTCGGTCGAATGCAGCTGAATCCGCCCAAACCCCACCGACAGACGAGCAGCAACAGCGTCGCCAGGCCGAAAGCCGCTCACAACTACACCACGATACTCGGCTGGATGTGCCCGATGAATGTCGCCATTGTCATATCGATGGTCCACAGTCATGCCCAGCTGCTGAGGCACGTCGTCGGCCCTGAGAAGCTTCCAATAGCAGGGATGTCTGTCGCCTATGTGTGCAGTAAGCACCTCCCTGTCACCCGCTGCCTCCTGATCCGACCACCGGCAGCAGAGGCTCCGCACCAGAAATGCCGAGAAGGAGGGGAAGAGCCGCGGTCCGCAGCGGATGACGGGGTCTTCGCTCTTGTATTCCACTAAATAGCGGTGGCTGGCCGGCATCTCGCCGTGAGGCATCACACCAAAGGGCCCGACAGTGCCGGCCATGAGGCACCATCTCAGCAACGATAGGAATGTTGACCCGTCAATGTTGATTGCTGCCGGCTGCAGGGCCAGGCTGCTCCCTCGGTAGCTGAGCTGGTGCTGGATGGTCGTGTAGACGGACATCATGACTGGCATCTGATGGAAGGCCCACCGGGTCGGCAAATGAGCAACCGACATGGTCAAGGGCAGCCCATTGGGGGTCAGCTGATAGATAGCGGCCAGCCGGACAATCATGCCCATCACACGCCACTTACTGCCGCCCTGCTCCAGCACATAAAGGCATCGCAGTAGATAGCCGACGTGCGTCATCCCATTTGCCCGTCGGCCCGTCAGTCGTCTTGGGCATGCCGGAAGCCGCCTGACGTAGGAAAGAATCAGGCCAACAAGCCCGCCAAGCTGATTCGCATCCCCAGCACTCCACACTCGGTCGACATCAACAGTGCCATTCAGTTCATTCCTCTCGAGGCAGGCGTCAATCCGCTGCAGCAGCAGGCCAGCCGTGATCAGAGCCGCCTTGGCCCTGCTGGTCGCTCGCAGGGCAACGACGTCACAGACGACAAGGAAGGGCAGAATCTGCTCACGCCAAAGCTCCTCAGGCAGCAGATCAGACATCGCACCCAGCCCAGCGGAACTGAAGAACACACGGCCAACGCGCAAAAGATCTGACATCATTGTAATGCGAAACAAGACTTCTTGGCTTGGCTCTGTTCACCTGCGTCGCTGTCGCACGCGGCGGGCGTTGCTGTCGAACACCAACACCAAAAGGCAATGCTCAATGTCGTCGTCCCTTCGTCGATCTTTTTCCTTTTTTGTTTCTCCGATGAACCCGTAGAGCCTTGGCAAGGCCTCTCAGCGACAAAACTGGGGAGACGAGGACGCCCGAGAAAGAGCAGTTTTGTCGCGGATCGCGAATAGTCTGCGAGCTTAGTCCCGCACAGCCTGAAAAAATCGCAGTGCCTCCAGTGGCCTGCCGCACACAGGAGTGAGTGGGCCTGACGTGCTTGTTCGAAACGCCGGCTCGCGCGCTGTCTTTGCACGTGTGGTGTGGGTCGTGATCCACAAGCAGTTTTGGCTGCGTGGATCTCTGGTGTCTGAGCAGCTGCTTCTCCTTGTTCTGTCAAATCTTCTGTCGGTGAGCAGACGAGGCGAAAGATGGACCGGCTGGCTGTCACTCTGTACCCATCTTAATTGCCGGTGTCAGGGATGTCTGCCGGTGCTGTGTGTGGCGTGGGGCATCGGCTGGCGGCCATACAGTCGCTCATGGAGCAGGTGAATGGCACACACAAGTTTGACATGCGACCTGACCAAACTGACAGACTCGACTCGTGTGGCAGGTGGCGACCGAGGTGTCGGATGTTGAGCCCTTAGTAATGACATCCATTGCCGCTGACCAGGTGGGTCACACAGAGAAAGAAATGGCTCAATACATGGATTTGCCTCTTCTGTGTGGGCGAAACCGTCTGCCGCTAGGTTCCCATCGTCGCACAGGATTGGTCATCTGTCAAGTCGAGCGTGTCGACCCTCTCGGCTGCCATTCAGACCATCGCCCACCACATCTCTGCCGCCCCGCCCCCTCCCCCATCTCAGCCAGACACCACAGCTGCTGCTGATGGCGACAATGCCGTGGACGTGACGGCCAATCGGCTGCCCGCCGATGTGTACTGTGACGGTATCGTGGGCTATCTCCCTGTCGACGTGGCCATCAGCCCGGCGAGGGCAGCCAACACCCTCTTCGGCACACAGCTCATCAACGAGGCCTTCATGCTCAAGCGCATCGATGGCTTCCTCGACAGCAACCATTTGACCGGCCTCGTCGACGTGTATCGGTCAATGTTCGGCTACTACAGCAAATGCGCCTATGCGCTCGAGCGGGGCGGGGCGGTGTGGGTGCAGATGACCGACTTCATCCACCTGGCGCGCAACTACAAGCTCATCAAGACACTGCCCCTGCGGCTGTCGCCCAAGCGGATGGGGGACCACCTGGCCAGCAGGGGCGACTTCCTGCAGATGCCGGCCGCCCTCGCCATTTACAGGACATTCGGCCACTTGCTCAGCTACAAAGGGGAGAGCCTAACGCTGGAGCGGGTGGATGAGCAGGATGGAGCTGACGGCGCGAGTGCCGAGGCCGGTACAGCGGGCAGCGATCAGGGGGGGCAGCATGGTGATGGTGGGGGTGGGGTGACGAGACGGCGCTATGAGATCGGCGATCTCGACTTCGTGACAGTCCCCCTATCCGATTTGCCCAACAACCACCCCTATCGTCGCACATACAAGGAGAGCGATCCCGTCATTCGCCATTGGATCTATCTCTACCCATCCTTCACGGCATTCCTCACGGCGATGGTCCTGAAGCACTGGGGGGGTCAAGGGAGGGTGGAGTGGAAGCTGGTGGCTGTCGGTCGTCTCGGTCGTGCTGACAGCCGCTACGTCCCTGCTGACGGAGCCCATCCACGGCCACAAGACAGTCGGCATCATGGCTGAGCGTGTGGCGCAGAGGGACGACAGCCGCGGGCGGATCATCGTGCTCAAGGGCAGCAAGGCGACAGATGCTACTGTGGCCTACCTAGATATGGTTGATGGCAACATCATCCTTTGGACGACCGAGGCACCGACAGAGGGCAGGACGGCCATCGAGCGGTAACCCACGGCCGTGCGGGTCGCCAGACGGCTGCTGGCGACACATGGGCTCGAGAGGACAGTGCTGGGATAGATACCTTGCATAGCAACACACTGGTGAGGTACACGAGGGGCTGTGTGAGGGAGTGTGCGCGTGTGTCTTGGCTCTTCTCATTTCTTGTCTGTCGTGCTGCATTGATGGATTGTAGGTGTCGCATTCGTGCAGCCGACGAGGGGGGTTGGGTGGTCGATCAGCGTTTGGCGAAGAAGGTGACGTGGCCAGCCTTTGATAACCCAGCTCAACTGGCGCTGACGGCACCGATGGCAGCGAGTGACTGAATTGCTGACGGTTGATGTGACGTGATGTGATCTGATGGTGTGCTGCTGCTGCTGCCATGCCCATGTGCGTGCAGTGGGTAGCAGCCTGACTGCTCATGACTGTGTGACTGTCTGTGTTTGATGTGGACGAACACACTCGATCTGCGTCGACAATTGTCCGCACTCTGGTTCTGACAAATCAGTCACCAGTATGTTGTCTGTCAATCCATCTATCCATTTGTCCGCATCGCGCCACCCATTTGTACCCCTTACACGGGCAGACAGACATGAACAAGTCACTCATTCACTGAGGAAGTGAGTCCAACTCGACTCTCAAGCGGACACACAAATGGCTGGATGGATGGCTGGCTGGCTGGCTGGGTCTCTTTGTCGGGACTTACTTGATGTACATAAGCTTACCCCGTGTCTTTTTGTCTCGCTCTCCTCTCTGCTAATCGCTGCCTCTGCTCTCTGTTGGCGTACCGAGACAGCATATTATATTTTCACGTATAATACACATGAGTGAGCGTCTCAAGCCATATCATGCATACGCCACAGCGCATAGAACGAGTCTCAACGACGTAATTCACTCGGAACCGGCACAGTTCACAGCTGTCAACCTAAAGCTGACCTGAACATGCGTCAAGGTGCACAGAGACGTATGCATGACTCGACCTGGGACATCTCTCAGCTCACCTCCGCGTTTATGCTCCGATGCTGGTCCTAGTCATCGTACATGTCCATGTACTCAATGACGGTGTACGCCTTCTCGAACCGGTGATGTGAATCGATAAAGCGTATGTGGAATCGCCCATTCTCGTCACTGATTTTGTGAACCTTCTTGATTACTTCCACGTCGAGGCGGCCTAACCAGGAAGAGACAAACGAGACATCATGATACTCGGACTGCGGTCCACCCTCTAGTAGCCTCTGCTTGCCTGTGCAGAAGACTTCGAGGAACAAGCGGTAGGGGAAGTCGAGACACAGGATCCACATCAGGAGTGCCACGGGAAGGGACAGCAATGGGGAGGTGGGTCCGCCGTTCTTCCCCTCGTTGTACAGCATCAGCACCGGCACTCGTCGCGACTCGTATGAAAGTCGTGCGCCTCGGATCAACGAAGGGGCTAATTCTTTGAGTTTCCATTGAACGGTGAAGTCGTCGCGATCGCCCGGCCGCTCGGCTTTTGGTATCTCGAATCGCTTCGCCTTCGTGATGAAGCTTTGCTTGAAGTCCTTTAGAATGTGATTCACATCCGCATCGACACTCTCGCCATAGACCGGACACAGGTAGATTCTCAGTCGAATGAGCAGGAAGCGCTCGAAGAGATTCGATGTCGGCGGCAGCTCAGGCGTCATATCGTGGACGGCCCCAAGCACTCCCACTTTCACCCATCCCCCTTCTCGTTTGCCTCGACAGCAGCCGACACGGATGATCTTGCCGGTGATGACGCAGTAGGGACGGGCCTTTTGGATCAATGCAAAGGCGGCGGTTGGACTCCAGCGATAGCATGACACCAGACGGCGCAGGTGGAGAGAAATGGGGCCGACCAAAGCCGTCAGAATGAGATAGAGGATGTACCAGATGACAAAGAGCCCCATCCACATCATGCGCATCCAAAAATCGTCTCCTTGGGCGACGCTGCTGAGGAAAAAGTACAGGAAGACCCCGCAAGGAGCCGAAAGCATGACGAAGAACAGGGTAGGCAGCTGCCAGAAACGCTCCTGGACCACCCGCCCGGCCCCTTCGACTGTCGATGCCGCCGATGCCTCTCGAATCTTCACAATGTACTCGGGCTCCTTCTTTGTCGTCTTGGCCATCGTCTGTGGTTCAGGGGCCACACGAGCCGTCGTCATCTTCGAGATACGGGCAAGCGATGGAAGCCGAGAGAGAGAAAAAGATAGCGACATCGTTCGAAGGCGCGAGTGTTGGCCAATCGAGGCACCCGGAGGTCAAGTCTTAAGAAGCAGGGCACACAGATACGCATGAAGTGTGCCTCGGCATCTTCTTTTTGCCTACGATGTTCGTGGGGCTACGCGTGCTGGTCCCCTGAAGCTAAGCCTTCAAGACAGCATGACAGCACAGCTTGGCATGTTCTCATCGGACGGGGCCCTTGGGAGTTGGGCAGGGAATATGCTTGTCAGGGCTTCGCTCGCCTGACTGTCCGCATGGGAAAGAGAGACAGGGCGACCTTAGCACTCACACTGAAGACCTCAGAGCCAGTGATGTGACCCCTGCACGCAGTAAGCCCCACACACATCGGCAGAGATTTAACACAGAGAGAGAGAGACGCTCAGTAGAGAGATGAGGGCAGGGCCTACCAGGAGTTGGGGTGCGTTCATGAGCGCTCCAGTGGTGAGCACTCTTGATCGTCTGCGGACGTGGGGAAGGGTAATATTGCGGACCCGCGGGGGATTCTTCAAGTTTACCGCGAGCTCGGGAACAGCTGAAGGGGGAACGGCGGGGAGCGGTAACGATAACCGCCGAGATAGGGGCCAAGCTACCGAGAGCTCTACCCCCTCTCGTTGGTTTAACGCTCATCAGGCGCCTCAGCGAACGCAAATCTCGCGTACCGCGCTGATGAGATCATTGAGATGCCAAGGGGAGATGGTCTGTGTGCCGAGGGGAGGTGTCTGTGTCTGGCTGTTGCTCGCCGTGTTCGCCAGCTGCGGAGAAGCGGTCGTCATCGAGCTACCGGATGGTGGGCACACACTTCACAAAAGCAGTGCCACACACACTTCTGAGTGACACTTTGTGGCTGTGCGTGACACGTGCAATACCAGGTACAGAGATCCGGGGCATCGACCAGGCAGATACCGACACAGAGGCCTTCCTGGGCATCCAGTTCGGAGACGCGCCAAGATTTGAGAAGCCGACGCTCATCCCTCTGGGAGGCGGCCACATCGATGCCACGAACAAGGGGCCCGCCTGTCCGTCCGCGTGCAAGCAGGTCGTTGGGTCGCCGCAGTTCTGCTTGTCGGAGAGTGGCTTGCTGGCGGAGCAGTGTCTGTACCTCCACGTGTGGGTGCCCAAAGGCGTGCGAGAGCGAGGCGAAAAGAGAAATGTGTTGGCGCTGATCCACGGGGGGGGTTGGGACGGCGGCACATCAGGGGCGGCATTCACTGATGGGGCGGCACTGGCGCAAAGGACAGGTGAGGGCGCGAGAGAGAGGGAGAGAGAGGGGGAGAGAGAGATTTTCACTTGCTCAGCTGATATCGCCTTGTTTGTGTCTGTGCTGGTATGGTCAGGTCTTGTGGTCGTGGGCTTAAATTATCGATTGGGTATCTTCGGCGGCATCGTCACCGATTATCTGCCGAGGAATCTGGGCTTTCTGGACCAGCGCGTGGCCCTTGAGTGGATACAGAAATACATACACGTGACCAACGCACACACGCACACCACGCCACACCAGACAGAGCAGACGAGAGAGACCGGCCTACACAATGTGTGTCTGTGTGCAGCACTTCGGCGGTTCGCGTGACGTCACACTAGTGGGCTTCAGTGCGGGTGCTGTGAGTGCCGCCTGCCATCTCGCGTCAGAGAGCGCAGGACGGCTGTTCAAGAAGGTGATTGCAGTATCGCAGGACTGCTGCCAAAGCGGGAGATCCCTCGAGGTGAGCTCACAAAGGGAATGGACCACAGACCAGGCTGACGCAATTGCCTCTCTCTCTTCTGTTGTCAGCTCGCCACGGCGCAGAGCAACTTTGCCCTGACCGCCCTGACGCCCTCGTGCGGTCCCGTCCACAAGGCCGAGAGGGACCTGGACGCCTACATCGAGTGCATCAAGACCGCACCTGTGAAGGACCTTCTTGCGGCGAATCTGCTGGGCAATATGTACCTCATTCTTGAGGATTTCTTTATACTGGCGCCGTGGCGGCTGGTGGAAGACGGGGAGGTCCTCTCAAACAACTGCTATGACCCTCTTGTCACGGTGTGTGAGAATAGGCGGACGTGCCCGTCCAACCATCGCTGCATGCGGCCGGTGATTGGCGCTATGTGTCTGTCCTGTGTGAGTGCAGGGCGAGTACAACACTGATGTGCCGCTGATGTTGTCGTCGACACCGCACGAAGGGACGGTGATCATCCGCCAAGCCATCAATTTCTTTGCGCGCGACTTCGCCGACATGCTCACCCAGGTCGTCTTCAATCCGGTCACATGGATGGCAACCATCAAAGGGCTCTTCGGCGCCAGGGCGGTACGAGAGAAACAACCACACGCCGAATTTTCTTCCAAATTTGGCATCCTATGCTGTCCCTCTCTCGTCTTCTGTGTGAACCCAGGACGAGTTCCTCGAGCTGTACCCTCTTGATGGTGTGGGTGAACCCGCCACGATCGGCCTGACGCCCGACAGGCCCGACACGGCATCCTCCTTCAGCAGTGCCTTCGGCCATTCGGAATTCTCGTGCTCGACGAGGCAGCTGTGCGCCAATGTGACGGGCACGTGTTACCTCGCCTCATACGAATCAGGGTGGGAGGGCATGGTAGAAGCACAGAGAGAGAGATACGGAAAAGGCAATGCAGTGTGTGTTGTGTCTTTGTGTGTGTCTTTGTGTGCCCAGGTGGTCGTACACCGAGAGTGAAAAATTCACCGCCAAGAGTGCACCCGGATCGTATTTCCACTCCCTCAACCGCTTCTGCGGCACGGATGAGATCAGATGCCACCTGGAGGACCAGCCATGGCTGCTGCAAAGCGCACGCAGAATGCCAGAGGGTCAGCAGTGCAACCAACACAGAAGAAGCTGACGGGAGGGTACATGAATGGATGGATGGGATGAATGGTGTGTCCGGTTCAGGTTTCGCTTTCACGTCTGCCGAGGAGGAGGCCGTCAAGACAGTCCACCAGTACTGGAGAAACTTTGCCAACACTGGCGTGCCAGATGGTGCTGGTGATGGTGATTCTGCTGCCGGCTCCTCCCTGCCCCCCTGGCCCCCCTACACTCGCGACGAGAGGCTGTATATGAAGCTGTCCATCCTCAGCGACGACGCACCGGCTGGCCGTGCCCTCAGCGAGGCCGGCTACATGAACGACGAGTGCGGCTTCTGGGACAGCATCATTCCAAAGTACGATGTCTCATGGAAAGGATACGCCGACAGAACCAGGCAGGCGCGCTATGGCGAGAGTGAGGGCGGCGAGTGCGGGTCGCTTCAGTGCCCCAGCGGCAGTGTGTGCGTCACGACGGCCAATGTGGATATGCCATCGCTGGGCGGAGGCAGCTGGGAAGAGTGGCTCGCAGATGACCCGGTAGGTAAACCAGCGAGTAGTGCACACAACACCCCACCACAACATGGCACGGGGTTGCACTCTGCGTGTCACTCACTGCTTGCTGTTGTTGTCAGATCCACGCCGCGAGGGCGCTGTCTCTGTTTTCCTCGGTGGTGCCCCGCTACTCGTGTGTGAGCGCCTCGAGCATGCACGTCGTGGCGCAGAGCGACCCCACGGACCTGACCTGGGCGGCCATGGGCTACAACATGACCCTCGTCTCGTCGCCCACCGATGAAGGCCAGGAGTTCCTTCAGCGTGCCATCAGCGAGGCCATGCAGCACTACCGGCCGACAGTCAGGATTGGCGAGATGGAGGTCGACCTTCGCGACCAGGTGATGGCCACGCGGGGGGGAGGGGCCAGCCTGAGGGTGCTGGGCAACCTGGCGGCCGTGGCCAGCAGGAAGGTCGCCGTGGCTGAGAGTTTCATCGATGGCCTCTAGGCATTCATTGGCGCGTGTGGATGTGTGTTGGTGCTGGTCTTTATGGCATGAACTTTTTCTTACTGGTCTGTCTGTCTCTGTGTCTGTGTCTGTGTCTGCACCTACGTAGGCGAAACATGTCACGTACACCAGCACGCAGCACACAGCCCGGACAACTCACTCACCCAGTCCAGTCATTAGGGATGGGATGGATAGCAGTAGATAGATGGGAATTGCATGGAATGGACGTCGCATGTCGACGGCAGACAGGGTGGGGTGGGGTGGGGTGGGGGTGTGTGCATGTGTGTGTATACGGGGCCGTCAGGCTTCTTGTTGGACAATTAAAGGGGGCCGGACCGGATGACCTGACTGACTGACTGCATTCCTGATGCGCGTGCTTTCATACCTGGTAAGGGCGGCGTTCGTGTCTCTGTCTGTCTGTCTGTCTGTCTCTCTGTCTGGGTGTCTGTGTGTCTGTCTGTCCGTCCGTCTGTCGTGACACATCGTCAAAACAGACGGACGGTGTTGTGTGGATGATGATACTGGCTCGCCTCATGACGTAGCGGAACGTGATGCATGATGCGAGTGCCGTCGTAGCGAGTCGTGGCGGTCACTCACAACACAGCGACGCTGGATGTA